ACGCGGAGTGGGGCGGGGCGCACTTTCAAGACGGGTGAGCAGACCGCCCAGGTAGATAGAGCGTATGTGTTATCTGTTACTAAGAGGACAAAGTCAATTCATTCGCGCTGCGCCTTGCTGGGATTGCAGGCCCACGCCGTGGCCGCCCCACGCCCCGCAAATCCATGGTATTTGTACCAGCGATAGTCCTGGTGGGGGGCCCGCGCGCCCCCCTCTCCATAGCCGTGCCTGCAGTTGATGTTGCGAACTGACGGATTGGACCATTGCGCACCAGGCGCGTCAAACACAAGCCGTGCCAGCTAATTCCATGCGACAGGTGGACGCGGGCGGTGCGATGGTTCCAAGCCGCAGCGAACGAGCCGCACCTGGCAGCAGGCACAGTAAACACCCGCACACGCGCCGCCCGCCACGCCTCGCCGCTTGCCGTCGCTGCTGCTCGTTGCAGGGGCCGCCCGTTCACGAGGTCGGCCGTAACCATGACTTGGCGCGTGTAGCAGGGCGCGCCCTGCTGCGTGACAGACACGCATGCCGCGCGTGCTGCCGTCTTAACGGCCGAGGCGTTAGGCTGTTTGGGATTGATCCCAGCGACGTCCTCGCCACTGGCAAAGCGGTTTCGCGCGGAGCTCCTGCCGCTGCCGTTGCCAGCGCTCGGCGGCTGCAGACCGGACCTGAGCGCGCTGTATTCCTCGGGGCGCTTAAATTGGCGCAAGAAGTGGCGCTCGATTGAGCCTGCGGTGCCATTTGCGCGTGACCACGGTTAGTTCGCACAGCCGGTGTGGAGTCCACACCTTAACACCCACCTGTTGCACAATGCTCGAGGCTACATATGCACACGTGCGCACACAGAAAGAGCCGTTTCGCAATCTTCCACTTACCAGCAGAGCTAAGGAAGCGGTTGTGGTCGTTGGACGGCGAATTAAACCCCGACCGCACTCCGCGCGCCCCTTCCGCAGCAAGGTCATCGCCCGTCAAACAGTGCACTGGCAGGCTGCGCAGCGTCTTCTGCTTGCGGCTGCTGCGCTCCATAAAGGCTAAGATTTGTAATATGTTGTGACGAACGCGAGAAACATGCGAGTTGTGCGCGGTCAATTGATTTCGGACGGGGGTTTTCTTTGAGTCCTCCGTGTACGGTCGAAGCTTGATGGATGATTCCAATTTCTATTGCGCGTGCGCGGAAATTGAGAAAATTCACATGTGCATTGAGATGCGCCGATGATTGCAGGAGGGTGGCGACTGCTTTCATGCTTTTGCTGCTGGCGTTACCTTGCCGCTCTGCCGCCTTTGCTTTGTGATACATGTTTGATCCCTTCAAAAGCAGCACAATCAATGCATTTGAAAGTTCGCACCTGCTGCTGTGCTATAGAATCGCCTCAAACAGCTGCTGTGCAGGCAAAGGCATGCCCCGTCTGTTGATGGCTTGCCAGAGCACGGGTACGGTACCGAACTGGGGCACACACAGCCATGTATCACTGCAGCATCACTGGCATCAGCCCCACAGGTCTCAGCCCTCCAACAATGTCCTTGTCGTCGTCCTCCACCCGCCAACTCGAACAGTCATCACACCTCACATGACCAACACACTCAAAGCAGTGAGCAGCCTGCTGGTCTGTGAGCGCTTTCTCATGCTTTTCATATGCTTGAAATATGAGATATACTGGCGGTTCATCGCGTATAGCCCGCGTTTGACCGCGCCAAACATACGCGGCTGATCTAGGGTACATCACGCATTATCAGTGGGCAGCAGCAGCCGTATGATGGAGAAATCTGCTGCAAAGCCGTCTTTGGAGGTCTCAGACCTGAGCACGGTAGAGGCGTCCAAGGAGGTTGAACAGCACGGACGACACGCAAGCCTGCTGGAGGGGAGGCACCGTCCGCAGCAGGCTTCAGGGCGACCTCCACGATCAGGTGAGAGACAAAGCTGCGGGCACCATAGGCAGCGCTGCTGTTCAAGTCGATTTTGCAGTCTGGCGCGCACAACACCTGCGCACACGAAATCGCCGACAGCCTCCGCCCCAGTTCGGACCAGCGGCGGGCGCAGTTGGGCGTGGCATCCAAGCACATTCATCCGGGTCCTGCGTTGCGGGTCGCTTGCAGCTGGTGCGCCCGTGCCGCTTGACATCGGCCGGGCCTCACCCTTCCAAATCGTCTCTCAGCGGCCCGCCAGCCGTCCGGCGCGGCCCCGGGCGTCGCGGTTGGCAGCACTATCGCGGTGGCCGGCATGGCCCTCAGCACGGCCCTGCTGCGCCTCGGCCTGCAGCGCAAGCGCATGCGCTGCATCGCAGGTGCGGTGTGCGCTTCGCGCGCCGGCCGACCCCACGCGCCTGCGCTGAGCGCCTGGGCCATCCGACCGCTGCCTGCAGCGCCACGACCACGGAAGTCCTCATACCCTGGAAGTCCTAATACCCTCTTTTCCGCCGCCAGACAAGCCCTCCGCACTCCCCTTTCAAGCCATGCCACCGCCGCCGTCGCTGCCGCCCTCCAGGTCAGCTGGAGGCCCGTGATACGCGCGTGCGCGACCTCGAATCGCAGCTGGCAGACGCCAACCGCCGCGCCGCCAGCATCAGCGCGGAGGCCAGGGGGGAGGCCGGCGGGCTCAAGGTCGAGCTCGACGCGGCGCGGGAGGCGCTGGCGGCGCGGGGGGAGGAGCTGCGGGCTGCCAAGGAGGCGTGGGAGGCGCGCCTGTGAGCGGGGTGCAGGGGCAGGGGTGTAGCAAAGGCTTCAGGGCGGATTAGGCGGGGGCCGGCTGGGCACGCGGGTGCTGGCTGTGCGCCGCTCAGGGTTGCGCTCGACAGCGTGGCGGCGTGCTGCTTTGAAGTCGCGCTGCCCTTGCCCCAGGCCTTTGCTGTCCCGCTGTTGCCCGACTGATCTTTGATACGGACCCGTAACCCCAACAACCATGTGCCCCTCTCCGCCTTTACCTCTACGGCCGCATGCTATCTGTTGTTGCGCGCCATCCCATGCCCCCGGCGGCCCAGTGCTGAGCTGGCGGAGGTGAAGGAGGGCCTGGCGGCTCAGCTGGCCGGCAGCGGCAGCGAGGTCGCGGCCGCGCTCGAGCGCTGCGCGGCGGCCGAGGCGGCACGCGGCGAGGCGGTCGGCAAGTGAGCTGCGCCCGGGGTGGGGCGTCCGAGCGCCGCCGCGCCCCCGCTGCATGGGCAGCTGAGAGCGGCAGTTGTGCTTTTTGCGTCATCGTGTTGTGCGCCACCCGGCCCAAGCGGCGCCTGCGCTGCCAGCCACCCACCCACTCAACCGCCCACCCAACGTCCCACTGCACTCGACAGGTGGCAGAGCGCTTACGGGGAGCTGCTGCGCACCAAGGAGGCACTGGAGGCGGCGCAGTGAGCTCAACACCTGCCCCCCTTGCGCGTCTCCGCTGCCCTCCTGCCCGGCCGCCCCCTGCGTTGCCTGCGCCCTGCGCGGCCCTCCGCCGCCTCAGCCCTGCGCTTGTGCTGCCCTGTGCGCGACATCCGCGCCTCTGGCTGCTGACAACGCACCGGCGCTTCGCGCAGGGGCGAGCTGGGGCTCACGCGCAGCCAGATGATCTCCCTGGAGCGGGAGCTGCAGCACACCCAGAGGTGAGGCACCGCCGGCCTGGCCAGTAAGGCGACGGGCATGCTGCAGGGCCAGACGCTAACCATGTGCTGAGCAAATGGGAGCCGCCGGCGTCTGATTCCGGCCGGACGCGTGCCTGATGGCAAGCAGTGCGTGGTTGCCACAGGCTTGGCCGTGCGCTGCTGGTGACATCACGATGCAGTGGTGTGCGCCAGCCGCCTGCGCCAGACCCGCCCTTGTTCAGTTGCATTGACGCGGCGCCCCCGCACGCCCGCACGCGCCCTGCAGGCAGCTGCGCACCACGCAGGACAAGGCGGAGCGCGAGCGCTTCGACCGCCGCGCAGGGGGGGATGACACGTACGCGTTGTGGGACTGAGCTGGGCGGCGCCATTTACGCGGCGCGCACACGCGCGGGCCTTGCCTTCGCGTCCCTAGGTTTGCCCGCTACCGGCCTGGGCGCCCGCGGTCGTCCCCGCCCTGTGCTGCCGCCACTTGGGATTGAGCCGGCGGCGCTCACCTCAGGCCGTTATGACGAGAGGCATTTGTCACCCACGAGTGCTTTTTGTATCATGCGGAGCGGTGTCACACCCAGCACTGCGCCTCAACGTCGGGGCCTCCAGGTGTAGCGCGCGCCCTCCTCCAAGGCTGGCGCTGTTTACCTGACCGCAGCCCGTGGAAGGCAAGGCCATTCGCCGCCCCTCATTTTACGACGTGGCCACGACAGCCCCGCCCTTTTTCCAACCAGGTGTGCGACTCGACGCCTTTTGCCTTGGCTTTGGCATGTCTCAGCTGGCAACGCACACGTGTGCCATCAATATGTTTGCGCCTTTAAAGATGTCATATGGCGTCACCGCCATCCCACAGCAGCACCCACTGCCCGGCGACAAGGGCAGTGCGGTCCCACGACTTTTCCAGGCTGGCTGCGGCGGCAGCGGTGCCATGCCACCTCCCCTTATCACGTTTTCGCCTCACCTGACTACAGTACTTTGTCTTTTTTTCTGTCGCCTCAGCCGTCGTCACCACACACAGAATTTAGGCAGCTCGCTTGATCCTGCAGGGTGCGGACTGGGGGAGGATGCAACGCTGTGCTCCTGCCGCAGTGCGGCCCCGTCATCACCCATACGCTGTAACCTTGTTAGTGAGGGAGGTACTACCAGAGCCCAACCACAAATATCGCACAGCGAGGCTCTGGCCACCACGCGCAATACACACTCCATAGGGCCACGTACTCTACACACGATCACACTGCAGCCCCCACAGTTCCACGTCTAAGTAAAGGCGCCAAATCTTGATTACTCCCTTAGTTTGTAGTTTGACTGGTCACACGAGAGTGGAGAATCGTGGGACGCCGGCCGCTGCTTGGGGTGTTCAGGCCTCGTTCACAGCAAGCAGAACCACTGGCGGTGGCTGCCTGATCCTTGATTCTCGCCCGCTGATGGTCGCAGCGCTCAGGCATTGGGCATCTACACGTTCACAGGGATGCAAACGTGGGCGGGGCCGTGCCCAGGGCGTGGGGTCACCCGAGGTGTCGCGCCCAGGAAGCCATCCGCACGCAAGGCCACATTGACGCTCCATCTCCCCATCTCCCATGGTTAGTGTTCGGGCGAAGCTGTTCCCGCCAGTCACCATATGTTAAATTATCACATTCAGGCAGTGTTCGCCTGGAGCGCCGGGGCCACAGAGTTCGAGATCGGCACTCCGGTCTCTGGGCGGGACCGCGGAGTGTGGGGTGGACGCCGCCTCCATCGCAAGGAGGCGATCACACAGTCATGACAGGTGAGAACCACCCGGTCTGATCGGTGAGGGGATCCCGGCACACGGAGGTCTGTGCCCAAATTGTTCTCGCCGCCCGAGTACGCGCTCCCCGAGCCAGCACTGCGTGCGCCTGAGGAAATCGTCATCACACGTCCACGTCAGTTGGCGCAGCCCCTGTGCTAGCATGCTGGTTCTTGTTTCGCGGATGCGGTGAGGCGTTGGACACGTGCGTCGTGGCTGCGCTCGAACTGGCCGACACAGCGGCCGCACATTACGGCGCCTTTTAGGCGACGGCGCCGCTCCATGCCGATCGACACCGCCTGCAACACCTCACAGGCCGCAAGCCAGCCCGCCCCGCGCTTGGCGGCGCGGCGGCGACCGTGCTGCTGCTCCTCGCGCCGGCGCTGCTGGCGCCCGGCGCGCGGGCCCAGGGCCTGGCCGACGACCCGAACGCCAGGCTGGGGGCGGCGCAGAGCCTCGCGTCCCTGTCCAAGCTGCTGGCGCAGGCGCAGAGCTTCAGGACGCTCTTCAAGGCGAACCCCAGCGGCGCGTGCTCCTCGAGCATCAAGTCATTCTGCAAGTCGTCCGCCACTCTGGATGAGATCGGCACGCTTTACGTTGCTATGAGCCAGCAGGCGTTCGACGCACGCACCGCGGGGGTGAGCGCGGCCGGCAAGCGCACCCCTGGCTCGGCCGGCGGCCCGACGGCCCGCGAAACAGCCTTGGAATCCTGATCGTCGGGCTGCTTGTGTGCGCGCCAGCGGCCGCGGCGCTGGCTCGCGCGGTCGGCGCACCCCTCACGCCGCGCATTTCGTTTCGTGCTGCTACCCACCGCCGCCGGCGCGGCCCCCGCTCGCAGCTGGCTTCGCCGGTGCGGGACCAAAAGGACTGCCTCACTTGGTGAGCCAGCAGGCGCCACCGCCACCACTGCTGACACATGCGCAGGGCAGTCGGTAGCTCATTCACGCTTATATCACTGATGAGCGCTCATGAGGCTCGGGTCACCTCCTCAGCACCTCGATCGCGCTGCACCAAGGCCCACCCTGATGCCTGGCTTGCCCTGCCCTCTGCTGCCCGGCCAACACTCGGAAGCTCACATCGCGCGCCCTCCAGCTCTCCTAAGCCTCATCCCCACTCCCCTTCGTTCTCCACCTCCTCCATCTTCCCTCCACCTTCCCTACACCATTGCAGCACATCGTTCGCCACCGTGAGCTGCAGGGTTTGCTGTTGCCGCGTCGCCTCCAGCTCCTTTGTTCTGCCTCAGCTGCTGGCAGGGCTGCCAGCACCCGCGGCTTCCCGCCTGGCTGCCGGCCCCGTGGGATGCCTTTCATGCGGGAACCCGTGCATGCGCCTCAGCGCAGCGCCGAGCCTCTCACCTCTCCGCCAACCGCTGCCAACCGCTGCGCACGGCCACGCCGCGCCCGCGTCCCCTCGCAGATCAGCGCGGCCGAGGCTGCGGTCAGCGCGGCGCTGAAGCAGAGTGCCAAATCCAAGGAGTGGAGCGTGCAGGTACACCGGGGTGGCCCTTGTAGGGGAAAAGGGGAGCGATGCCGTCGGTGGTGCCCCTTCTCATCAACCCACGGGCTTCCAGTGTTGGGGCGAGGCTGCCGGGGTGCCGGCGCACAGGGCACCCCCTGCAGTTGCGCATGCACTGGGGGGGGGGGGGGAGCGGACCGCCCCAGACCCTCCTGAAGGCTCGCTCGCGCTGAGCCCCGCACGCTGAGCCGCGCCGCCCGCCTTGAAGCACTCCCCTGCCCCCGTGACGCGCCCGCGCGCGCTTGCCTGCTGCCCGCCGCCCCGCGAACCCAGGCGCTCCACTCTTGCAGCACGGAGCATGGGGAGGAGCGCACCTGCAGGTCAACAGTTTCTGTGCTGGACGCCGTGAAGGCTCTCCAGCCATCGAAGCGGAAGCTCGTGACCGAGGACTGCCTCCCCTACACCATCAGCGAGGGCGCGAGTTACAACAAAGATAACTGTGCCGAAAAGTGAGCCCAGGCGGGGGCGGCCACCAGGTTTGCGGGGCCCGGCGGCGCCGCGGGGGCCGCTCTCGCGTCGTGGTCCTGTCCGGGGCTTGGTGCTCTGTTCTTGCAAGCAAGCGTTCGCCACGCTGACTCAGCACTTCTTGCTGACGGTCAGGACCCCGGTTTTTCAAACTGCAGGTGCAAGAACCAGGACCCGGCGATCTCTCAGGGCACGTTCAGCTACAAGCAGCTGAACACCCCGTGGGAGGTGCAGCAGCACATTCGCAACTGGTGAGCGCCCGCAGGCCGCGCGCCGCGCCGGCGCCTCGCTGCAGCGCTCTGCGCCATGGCGCGGGCGCCGGTCCAGGCGCGTGCGAAGGCGTGCCTGCCGCTCGCATGTCAAGGGGCGTGCGAATGTCTCGGCTTCAGCGATTCAATTGAACGGCGCACCCCGGGCAAGCCTTTCCACGCTGGCTCGTCTCCACGAACAGTCATCACACTTTGGGGCTCATATGCACGTCGACTTGCACTCTTTCCAACACATGCGAGTCTGTGCATGTGTGCGCGCTCGTGCGACGAACCGGGGAAGAGGCCCTCTAATGCACACAACCACGATTCCACCTGCACGGACGCACATACAGGGGCGGCGTCATCACGCGGCTGAACGTCTATCAGGACCTGCGCACCTTTTTCAAGGACAAACCCCGCGGCATCTACAACGGCGTCGAGCGCACTGGCAACCAGTTGATGGAGCCGCACGCGGTGCTGTTCGTGGGTGAGCAGAGGGCCTTTTCACATGGGGCTCCTCACAGGTCCCAGCCTCCCTACTGGGCCGCTGTGGCACGCCGATTCCCGCGCAGCCTCCTGCTTGCGACGGCCGGGCCGCGTACCTGCGCGAGCGCGAAACCGCGCCGCCTTGTGATGCCAGTGGCTGAGCCTCTCCACCC